TGCATCTAGAGCAGCCTTCTCGAAATTAACATGTATATGTTCGGTAGCAGCGACCGGGCGAACAGCAACATACCAAGCGGGATTTGTTTAATATATCTGCCCACCAGGCCACTTACGTTGGAATGTATTTGAACACAGATACTAAAGTGTGTTAACCAACTGGCATATAGAAATAGACAGGAGTAGATGCTTGTAAAATTTTGCATAAACCTTGTTCTGTGTTGTTAGTTTGTTAATAGGGATTCACTGTATAGGGCGATTCATTTTAGACAGAAGCTTTAACGACATTCGCCGTCAAATTGATTTAGGTCTGAGTGAGTGCATTTAGAAGATATTTGTGCATACATTCGACTTCCCGTTCCCCATACGTAATCCAGTTAACTAGATCGAACACCGACTGTTATCCACGATTACTCTGTTGTCCAATTGTTTTGTTTGCCAATCGTTTTCATGTTTGTCGTAGCGAACTCTGTGTGATATCCAAGCCTTATTTTCTACATTGTTCAAGCGTGAGCGATCGATATCTTCAGATACATCAACAATCTCGTTTTATAGTTCACACCTACAGAAATTTAAAATTTTAAACGTATTTTTATAAGTTCATTTGGCAAAACGCAGTCGGTTTTGTTTTCTATTGACTTGCTTAACGACAGTGCTACATTCCTGAAACAAATGGACTGTGTGGGTTCCAGCATTGAACGCGCACAGACCGTATATGTAAATAATACAAATGGCCAGGATCAGTTATCTCCAGCAATCCAACTCACACTTGATAAGAGAAAAAAGCGTACGTCGCTTTTGATCCACGGAAATTTTGTTTGAGTTCACTGGTTTTTAAATCGATCGTCTACTGAATTTTAGTTAACATCGTTGGGTTTTCGCTCCGTCAAATCCCACAATCGCTCGATAGTCTGTTATATCCTCGTCTGAATGAACACTGCATCCTGAGTGCCGAACGCAGCAGGACAATAACTGAATAGCATACTCAGTAGGAAATCATCTCAACAACAGTGATGTTTTACTATAAAACGATTTAAGTTCCAAAATGGGCCCCTACTTGTCTTTCAGAACATCTGCATTTTGAAATGTGACGTTATTATGGGTGAGGGATATTATTCATACATGTTACTTCAGAACGTTTTGTAACTGAAAACAGTCAAACTGTGAACCATAAAGGCCACTCAGTCCTTATGGGTAACCAGATGACAGTGTATAAATAGACTTAAAAATCATTAATTTTTAATATGAGATTACTCCTACCCCCGTTAAATTGTTTGCTATTTAGACACTTCGCGTAATCACTCATCCGATACCCTAACGTGAAATCGCGTGTTGTCAATCCGCCTTTCATATTACAATCGACTGACAAACTTTTCAGTATTCAATCAGCACGTCAAGGTCGATGGTATTTTGCCCAACGAAGAGACTAACTATAAGCTTACTGACCGATTTTCAAAGATAATCAAGCAATCGTTTGACACGGAAAACAGAGCAACCTCAACAATAATTTGCTGCATTCAATCTAGATATTTAGTCTAATCATGCCGAAATTGCCAGAAGTTGTCCATTAGAGCAGTAGTATTGTCGTATGAGGCCTTGACAATCTAATCGATGCCCACAGTTGTTTACTTATTTTTATATATGAACTTACAGCCTCGTATGACGCTATTTCTTCATATGTAGCTTTGAGTGAATTTGGACATAATAAACACATCCCTTTACAATGTTTACTTTTCTATCGTTCCGGATACTATCATTGACATCGAGTCCTGGTGTACTGATCGAAGTTTTGAACACTCACTCATAGGTGTTCATACAATATGTGGACTACAGCAGCACATCCTTCTTTACTTCAGTGGTTTGTTTAAAACATGAAATACTCTACGCACAAAACGTATAGATTAGAGTTTTACTACTGACCACTCTTTGTGAGTAGATCAAATGATCACCAAAAGTGATTTCGAAATAACCGTGCATTGCCCACATGGACAGATCATCAAATTATCTTTTAAAATAATTATCGGGTCACCCCCCTGAACCCACTTGTGTAACAATCCTTCGGAGGTTAATTAACTGACGGAAGCCTATGAGCATACGAAAAATTTAGGTTAGTGCGGTTTCAAAATAATACTCAGGGTTTGATAGTGTGTGCACATTCGGACATGATTTTGTAACGCACGATATCAGGGTCACGTGTCCATAAAGACCAACGTAATTCCTAAAATTCACGTTTTAGTGTGCATTGAAATACGAATATCGTACTATGGAAACCGCTTAGCCAGGACGCTGGGTAGAGAGTCCACTTGGATAACTCGTCCAAATTGACCAACATGGAACCATTTCCTACTTTTATATTGTAAAAGACTACTGATGAGTAGACAGGAATTCGGTTAATTCTAACTTGAACATTCCTCACATTTTACCGTAGCCTTTGCATTCAGGCAGATATTCCAGCCAACCTCTTTCGAGAGGACGCAATAGTTTCGAGTTTCGCTTTCATTAAAGCTCGTCAGTAGTGCATATCATTGTCACGGCCGGAACAAGAACTCCGGCCACGCTTTTATGAGGCAATCGTGTCGACTATTATGCTATTGAATTCATATTGGGCATGACTGAATTATCGTATGTGAACGCTCAACCACTTTCACTTGCAAGTAATGATCATGTTGCCCGATCGTCTCGATGGGAGACACAGTAACTTTGTGTTAATCCCAATCGATAACCCCACGAATAGGACTTCCAAGACAGGTCGAAATCTCCGATCTCATTAAAGCTGCACCACTGATGAGCTCTACTGTGAGCGAAACTCATATCTAGTGCTACCTTTCGAAAGTGGCTGGCCGGAACGTCCATCTGAATACAAGGGCTGCATTCATCAGTGAGTGATGTTCAACTTGAAATTATAAACGATGTCGGTTAATCAGACAACCAAAACTAGCTTATTCATTCTACAGGTTTTCATGAGTTAGATTTCGTTCGTCGTAAATTTTAGTGAGACATGCATAATCACATGTTACTTTGTCATACATTTAGATGAAAATCAGTTTAGAAAAGTTTGTGCTTAGGTTGCACTTGAATAATCGACCGAAACAGTTTACCTGCGTGCAGTAATTTATTATGCCATTTAGGCTAGATAGAGTGAAAACATATCATTCTTGTTGATTGTTTTAACCGAACAGGAACCAAGGGGTTTCCTAATGGGTTTTATCCAAGCTGAAGAATCTGCCGCATCACTAGGTATACTGGTTAATAAAATTATGATATTAATGTGGTAAACAATGAGAAGTGGTTAGTGAAAATATTCTTTGGTCAGAATTAAATCCGTGTGTAACCTCTCCTATATGATTCAGGAATCAGAGTCTGACAGTAATGCGTTCGAACTATAACACCGCACTTCCGTAGATATGGGCGGAATAACCGTAAAGTCGGTGTCTGTCTTTTTAGTAGCTTACTCCTGCATGTCAGTATGACAATGATTTATACTTACTATCTGCGGTGTGACTAGAGAAACCTTGCCTGTCCAGAGTACAGCTATGCTGACATGTTTTTAGCTCAGTCATATTCCACTCCTCCGCACCATTTTTCTGGGGAGCACGATGGTGTAACATTGAGGCAAACACATTAACTGCCAAGTTCTTTGGTAAAAACCCGCGTACAAGGTATAATCTATTCCATTCACCCGTCTTTAACCGTAACCCTGGCTAAAATACAGCTCAATAGGAAACTCGTTCTTAGCTAGATGTATTCAACCAGAACGTTTTAACAGCCACATACTCCTAGAAATCTGGGGAACAGGTAATGAGGTTTATCACGTTCTTGTGCAATTGTAACGCAAGGCAAACAGACGTAACATATCTATTTCTTGTGTCCTGCTGAAAATAAAGGCTACGGATTTGAACTAACGAAATTGAAAACGAACATTATCAGTTAGCGAAGAGCAACTTAAGCCGTGGAAAAAGTAAAATGCGAAGTTCTTTTAATTTGTTTACAGAGAAGCAAATTTTACTGGTATGTCAACGGCCACTGGTTAAACATACAATACATTATGCGAAATTCCATGAGATTTAGCCCCGTACATTGTGTATGGTGATGTCAGAACTGGAATTTATTAGATAGTTATTTCAGATGGGATACTTTCTTTACATATCGAAGTTTCTTCGAGTGAAAAAATCGATGGATCGAACAAACATTGCCGCCTGCAAAAGCACAATTCGGTGTGACCGACATCCTGTGCTAATGGTAGAAAAAACGATAACCATAGATGTTTCAAAAACAGCCAACTGCTTCAGATCGTGTAAGAAAGTAATGGCAATGTGTGGAAGATACTGAACACTTTAATGAAATGGTTAAATAAATGGAATACTTTGTTGCGCCACTGAGACAGGAGGGTTGTTTTCATAAAAATATGTCAGTCCTCTCATCGAACGTTTAAACGTTCGTCTGTGACTTCTGCCACGACCACCATCAACATTAACTCAGCCAAAGATTAGGTCACTATGGAGACCTTGAGATAACTCACCATAAATTGACTGATCAAGAATAACTTGGTGAATTTTATTCCTCTTCTGAAATAAAATTATACATTTTCAAGACCACTCTACATTTGGCGCTGCCAATGCTTGCGACGAGCTACGGCAAGATCACACGTGATTGGTATGTTACTTATTAAGCTGAGCTGAAGTTTAACACAAACTCCGGACACTACATTGTCTCTACCATTGTGTTATGACTTTGCACAGGTTGACATTGAAATGAATCTGTAGGAGTTTGCCAAATTTGATAACATTGATTCTAAGTTGTAACGCCGCATCCATCATGAACTGAGTGACTAATAGTAACGTGTATGTCTAAATTAAATGGACATGAAGGATGATGTTGATTTACAGGTTTAGGTACTACCAATAAGTTTGACAGTAACTTGACACAAACCATAAAGGGTGTTACTAATGAGTAGTTTGGCAGATTTATGAATTTAGATGAGACACAACTGTGAAAAGTCAGGGCTTCGGCTGGATTCGAACCAGCGATAGAAACATAATGCCTCAACGTGGCGAGCGCTCTACCAGCTGGGCTCCGAAGCCACACCAGAAGCTCGGAAATTTCACATTTGCACTCGGTTACCCACCCGTCCCACTGTCTCATATGGAATTCACCGAATGATCCAGGGGATCGACTGCCCAGGCAGGATTTCCCAACTAGTTCACGCTGGAACCCACCACAGCCACTGTTGAGCATAGGGCAACAGAGTCCAAATGTGAAAATTTTTGAGCTCCCGGTGTGGCTTCGTAGCTCAGCTGCCACGTTGAGACATGGTGTTTCTGTCGCTGGTTCGAATCCAGCCGAAGCCCTGACTTTTCACAGTTGTGTTTCATCTAAATTCATAAAGAGTGTGCAAAGATGACGAATATGGAATCACCATACTCTGACAAGTGTTACCAACCACCAAGTATGCTAAATTTTCAAAAAAATATTTGAGGTTATCACTTCAAGGACCAGTAAACGACGGGCTCAACAATACCGTAGTATAGATATCAAATCAGATAAGTTGTAAATTGACTTCAGTAACATAACACTATCGTAGAGTCACGTGATACCTCAGTATAAACTGCAAAACATTATTGAAAAATGATAGTTTTAAACCAAGTCAAAGTAGTAAACGCGGAATACAGTTCATACTAATAATGAGGCAGGTAAAAATCTATATTCTTAGAATAAAAGACGGAGTTGATATGATTCATTACTTTCTGTTGAAAAAAAGTCCTGTCAAAAAGATGGATTCGTCGTGGCTAGAATACCAACAGTCTCAAGTGTATTAGACTGATTCAAATAAGTCAAAAATTATAGCCCATTTGGTCGAATATGTAAAAGTTTACTTGTTCTGCCCAAGAATAGTACGCACATTGCACGACATTCTGGTGGATAGCTACTAGGAAAAATTACACGGTGACTGTTTCTCTGTTAGGACTGAATACGAAATCTAGGCTGTATATGCGATGAAATGTATTGTTCAACAGGAAATAACTGTAGCCTGCATCATTTACTAACCAAGTCTACTGACACTCGTTCGCAATACGAAGTCAACTTACGTGTTGATTGAATTTACGTCTGGACGTGAGGGAGCGTCAACTACAATGTTCCGAGCACCTGGAGTGTGTCGAATATCGCTAACGAATTAGGCAACATAATTTTGGTGGTGTACTTCCTGAGTTGAATACCTATCTGGTTTTGCTTTAAGGGCCCCTGTTATGGGTTCATAATTTATATAAACAGAAAATTGCCTGTCTTGCAAGAGGTATCGGAAGTGACATATTGCCCTGTAGATTACTAGCAGTTAACGTCCAACTGTACTGTAATATGATTTAGCAAATGAAATGTGGTATTTGAAAAATCCTAGTTGCTGCTGGGATTTACGAACAGTTTGTTGTAAGACTGCACCAACGGCTGTGCTAGAGGCCTCAACACAGAGATAGCGAAGCGTTGGCCTGTAAATGAAACAACATGAGATTTTCTGTGAGGAGAGCATTTAGGTTCTCAAAGGTGCTTTAGCTTGATCTGACAGGCTGTATGTTTTCGGATTACCAGCTAGCAGATCTGTCAACGTCGCCGATGAAACGGCGATTAAAACTGACCATCTCTAAGAAACATTTTAGTAGCCAGGATGAGGTTGGAAAAGGGAAATCTCCCGAGGATTCAAGTTTGTTCGCAGTTGGTGGAATTCCGCGTTTATCGATGATGTGACCCGGAAAATATAATGAATTAGAACCAAACGTACATTTCTGAACATTGATCACAACGTCGCGAACTTGTACGTGTGATGAAATGCATTGTTCGACAGAACATGACTATAGTCTCTAGTTAGTCGACCCAGACTAAATATGCTGTGCACATCACCCTTGTCCTCCACTGGTTGCATACGAATATGTGATACCCGTCCAATTTCATTTCTTTTCTACCTATATCGATCAACAGAAAGTCATAGACTAAACCCTCAAGTTAAACGTAGTTTTCAAATTGAACATCACCCACAATTGATCGCAGTTGTCGCATTTTCATAGACTTTCCCGTCGGCCCCTTTTGGAAAAAATCACTAGACCTGAGTTTCGATCTCACTGGAGCTCGTCATTAGTGCATATTCTTGTCACTGCCAAGACTTTGGTGGAGTGGTGAACACGGTTGCCTCATGAACAGCGTGGCCGTGGTTCTAGTCCCGGCAGTGGCGGGGATATGCACTACTGACAAGCTCCAATGAGAGTGCAACTCGAGTCTAGTGTTTCTTTTTGAAAGGAACCGACTAGAAAGTCTATGTAAACACGACAGCTGCGATCAATTGTGGATGTTGTTCAACTTTAAATTAACCACATCCCCAAGTATTCATGAGTAATCTGAATGTAGTTTTATCGAACCATTGTGTATCATGTTATGACACCGTGACATAGAAATAGATTTTCATGCCATTACTGTGATTTACGTGTGTTTCTCTAATCGATTGTGAACGTCTGAACCATCTTCCTCGTATGGTTGAATAGTCACATAATCTTTCGTGGGTTTTCCTCACCATTATTTATTAATCTCAAATGTTTGTAATTCTGGTCACTCACTTTTTATGAGTAGGCAAAAAATTTGGTCCTTTTTTAATAAACCTTAACAGTAGAGACTACTTTTTTAAAATTTCTATTCAACAGCTAACAGATTGATTTTCTTTACTGTCATCCTTGAACATTCTTTCCGACTCGAGTTCACCTTGACATCTCAGTGACTGGTGATCAATTTATCTTACAAGCACCTATTCGGATTCGTTATCAGATTAATCTTTCCCCCACCCCCCTTATGTACTGCCCATCTATAAATCACGAAATTAACGATTTCATCTGACATTTTACTTCAAATTTGGAAATATGTCTGGAAACATTGTTTATTGTTCGATCAGACAGTATAACTCATTCACTTGCCTATATGAGCTATAACACAATCTCAAGTGCTGATTGCACACGTTCTTCAAGATGAAAAACAATCTCACACGTTTTATAATGTGTATGCCATTTATTCAATCGACATCACATTTTTATGGTTAGCAATTAACTGGGAAGAGTTGTGGAAATCTGTAATCGTACAATTGAGAAAGATAATTAAAATTTGAAAATAATCCAAACTTTCTAGTTCGATCCACAGGTGTTATTGCTGTTTCAAACAGGACGTTGGTCTGCTAAGTTTAGGGTAGGTACATTAGTGTACGCAGAATCAGCGGTGAGTGCAATCAAACGCCATATAGATGTATTAGTAGCATGAGGTATTCAAGCTGATTCTTGATTAGTTCACCAAAAAACATGGCAATGCGATGTGGCCTGATGTTATTCGGAAAGTCACAGTCACGTATGTGTACATCATGATGACCTTTCCAGCTTCCAGAGAAAACTTCAGAATATTCGTTTTTTACTCATCCCTGACTGGTATGAACCGTCGTTAGTTAACAGATTTGCATGGCTCACAATCATGATGACCTGAAAAAGTTAAAGAATGATCTGAATAGTGAAATTTTACAGCAAAAATTATTGTTTTGGTTTGTTTCTGCCTTCACGTGACCGGAAAAATCTTATTAAGATAACGTTTGTAACTTAGGGGCTGTTTGCTATCAAGAGAATAGTTTGTTTCATTTCAATTCTAAATCCAATAGTCAGACATTTTTGATGTAGACCCGGATAGCTGTATCACAGATTTACTCGTTGAATGACAGTTAACACTTTCTGTTCACGTTAACGATTAACGCGTGAAGTAGATCATGACCTGTTTACAGCGTAAATGATGTGTGAACCAAATTGTATGGTTTTAATACGTGATGTGCTTAAAAAATAACGATTAACAACTACGAAACAAGTCATATTGACTGAAATTGTAGCATGCAAGCCGGCTGTTTACCGCTCTGGTTGTCCGTAACACTCTCGGACCAACTGTGGGGCAATGTGGAGACACCAGGGGACAGCGTTCTTCCGAAGTAGGGGTTCCAACAAATCCTGCAAAAGGAAACAACAAGAAACAAACATGAGCCAAAGGCCCAGTAAGCCATGCACACAACTTACACAAACGATCACTAAAACGGCGCCGACAACACAACAGCACGCTCCGTGACCAATTTAAATTCAACTAGTGCACGCTCGCTGGTTTCGACCGCACGTTACAAAATGTCTGATAGAACAGTAAGTACAATTGAAATAAATCTATTTTTCTTCATGGTAAATTTATCGAAAAAAATAATCTCACCCCATTTTCGTATCAGGTCATTGATATAAGCTGTGTTCGAAAGAACACTTTAAACCCGTCTCCATTTCGTAACAAAGAAATCATCCTTCAAATATGTACAACATTTGAGGTAACGTCAACCCATAAGAGAAGAAACTGTTGGGTGTGGAGTTGCAAATACGTTGTACACTTCTCAGTGACTGTTACCCAAGGATTAATTATTGAGTCGTCAATGGGTGTAATTTATGTTTTACCAGGCAACATTTCTGGTCAGTTCTTGCTGACCTCGTAACTAGTGCATGGTACAAACTGATCCCGATGCTGTCAAGCAGTAGTCATTGAAGCGTTTTCTCCTGAATGGTATGGAATGTTTATATCTAAATTTTAATAACAAGTTTATCAATTTCTGAGTAAATCACAGCACATGAACTGCCATGTATGTTACCCAGTTTATCAATAGAAAGACATCACACTGTTGGTTCGAAGCACTGTATGACATAATACTGTGTCACAGTCAGTGAAATGCATGTAACTTGATAGCCCTATCATTCCAGGATGCTCTGTTGTTTTCTCTATTGTGTTTATCCTTTTTTTAAAGATTTTACGTTTGCACATATTTATTTCTCTGCCATGTTTTAGACCACAATCATAATCCACAACAGCACGAGCCATATTTTCTAGCTGTACGTCCCCATGCTGAAAACATTAATTATGATGATGACGAAATTCAAGGTGGTATGTTAAATTAGTGCTTTTATTTAACCTTGACACTGTTTTTATCTACCAACAACACAGTAATCTTATTCACAGCGTTAACGACCAGTATAATTAACAACAGAGGTTTAGA